AAAAGTTGACACAGTTTTGAAGGTGTATGCCTAGTGTACCAAATGAGCAAGTCAGTCCCCCATTGTAAAAATGCATTCACAGATCTATACATTTTGTCAAAACTTAACAACTTGTACATTTTGAATATGTTCGCTTCGCTGTATGTCAAGTATGTCCTAATACAGCTATTCATGATTGTTTTAAAATTTCTCAGAAAAAAAAAAAACCATATATTTAAAGTCTGTTCTGGATACTCATACAAATATATATTTTTGTTTCTTATTAAAATTTTTGTATGAAATTAAAATATGTATTCACAACATTGAATAACTTGGGGTGGACCTTGAGTACAGTGTTAATCTCAATTCATTGCCCTTAATTCACATGGATGGGTGCAAGAGTCTTCTGCTTTGTTTATGTCAATTTATTACTTTCTTTTATCCTATTCCCTACTTCCACCCCCTCTCTGATGTGTTTGTTATGTATTATGAATTCATAGGTATCCTCATAGGCTATGTAGTTGTTTTGTGTGTAATCGTTTCCTAATCTTGCATATGTTTTTCACTTAGCATGTGACTTTGGGGTCTACCCAGGTTGCTGTATGCACATTTAGTCTTTGTTTCTAGCTGATGTAAATAATTTCACAGTGGGTACCCACTTATTTTACTTTTCTTCCCCCCATTATGGATACTAGATTGTGACCCCCTCCAATGGATGACAAACAACTCCATCATAGATTCTTTTTTTCTTTCTATTGTATGTGTGAGTGTGTGTGTGCGTGTCAGTCCATCAGTCGTGTTCCACTCTTCGAAACTCCATAGACTGTAGTCTGCCAGGCGCCTCTATCCATGGAATTCTGGAGTGGCTTGCCATTCTCTTCTCCATGGGAATCTTTCCAACCCAGGGAGGGGACCAACCTGGACCAATGTAGGGACCAACCCGGTCCCCTACATTACAGGCAGATTCTTTACAACTGAGCCACCAGGGAAGCCCAAATGCTATGTAAATAGCTGTAAATACAATATAAATTCCATGTAAATTATTTGCTGGCTTGTAGGAAATTCAAGTTTTGCTTTGGGGAATTTTCTGGAATTTTTTTTCAACTATTTTTGATTCTTGGTTAGTTCACTCCAAGAATGGGGAATGCATGAGTAAGGAGGGCCAACTGTATTGTTATAAAACTGCTTGTATTAGTGAGGATGCAGAGATTGCTTATTCTTTACAGCATCAGTTACAAAATTAGAATTTTCTTAAATGATAAGGAATTGGTTAGTGGTTACCTCATACCAACATGGAAAAGAGTTTAAGTTGTGCCTATGATTTCCAGAGGCACAAGCAAGAAGTGACCAAGTCAAGTTAGTCTCCCTTCTCTTGCAAAATAAGATAAATTAAGCTGCTCAGGAAATTTTCAAAGCCAGTCTTCATTTGTTCTTTAATTTAACAATTTCCCCCCTTCCAGTTTTATTGAGAAATAGTTGACATACAGCCCTGTATAAGTTTAAGGTATACAGCATAATGATTTGACTTATATACATCATGAAATGATTTCCATAATTAGTTTAGTGAACATACATTACCTCATATAGATACAAAATAAGATAACATTAAAATTATGTTTTTTCCCTTGTGATGAGAACTGTTAGAATTTACTATCTTAAGTAACCTTAGTATATAACGTACAGTAGTATTCATTATATTTATCACATTGTACATTACATCCCTTGTTGTTGTTCAGTCACTCAGTTGTGTCCGACTCTTTGTGACCCCATGGACTGCAGCATGCCCCGCCCTGTCCTTCACCATCTCCTGGAACTTACTCAAACTCGTGTCCATTGAGTCAGTGATGCCATCTAACCATCTTGTCCTCTGTCATATTCTTCTCCTGCCTTCAATCCTTCCCAGCATCAGGATCTTTTCTAATGAGTCTGCTCTTCACATCAAGTGGCCAAAGTATTGGAGCTTCAGCTTTTGCATCAGTCCCTCTAATGAATACTCAGGACTGATTTCCTTTAGGATTGAGTGGTTTGATCTCCTTGCAGTCCAAGGGACTCTCAAGAGTCTTCCTCTACAGCACAATTCGAAGGCAGCAATTCTTTGGTGCTCAGCCTTCTTTATAGTCCAACTCTCACAACCATACATGACTACTGGAAAAACCATAGCTTCGACTAGACAGCTTTTTTGGCGAAGTAATGTCTCTGCCTTTTATTACACGATCTAGGTTTGTCATAGCTTTTCTTCCAAGGAGCAAGTGTCTTTTAATTTCATGGCAGCAGTCACCATCTGCAGTGATTTTGGAGCCCAAGAAAATAAAGTCTCTCACTGTTTCCATTGTTTCCCCATCTGTTTGCCATGAAGTGATGGGACCTGATGCCATGATCTTAGTTTTTTGAATGTTCAGTTTTAAGCCAGCTTTTTCATTCTCTTCTTTCTCCTTCATCAAGAAGCTGTTTAGTGCCTCATCGCTTTCTGCCATAAGGCTGGTGTCATCTTCATATCTGAGGTTATTGATATTTCTCCTAGCAGTCTTGATTCTAGCTTGTGCTTCATCCTGCTCAGCATTTCTTACGATGTACTCTGCATATGAGTTAAATAAGCAGGGTGACAATATACAGCCTTGACATACTCTTTCCCAATTTGGAACCAGTCTGTTGTTCCATGTTCAGTTCTAACTGCTGCTTCTTGACCTGCATGTAGGTTTCTCAGGAGGCAGGTAAGGGTGGTCTAGTATTCCCATCTCTTGAAGAATTTTTCAGTTTGTTGTGATCCACACAGTCAAAGGCTTTAGTGTAGTCAATGAAGCAGAAGTAGATGTTTTTCTGGAACTCTCTTGTTCTTCCCATGATCCAAGGGATGTTGGCAATTTGATCTCTGGTTCCTCTGCCTTTTCTAAATCCAGCTTGAACATCTGAAAGTTCTCAGTTCATGTACTGTTGAAGACTCGCTTGGAGAATTTTGAGCATTACGTTGCTAATATGAGAAATGATTGCAACCATGTGGTAGTTTGAACATTCTTTGGCATTGCCCTTCTTTGGGGTTGGAAGGAAAACTGATCTTTTCCAGTCCTGTAGCCACTGCTGAGTTTTCCAGATTTGCTGGAATATTGAGTGCCGCACTTTCAAAGCATCATCTTTTAGGATTTGAAACAGTTCAACTGGAATTCCATCCCCTCCACTAGCTTTGTTCATAGTGATGCTTCCTAAGGCCCACTTGACTTTGCACTCCAGGATGTCTGGCTCTAGGTGAGTGATCACACCATCGTGGTTATCTGGGTCCTGAAGATCTTTTTTGTATAGTTCTTCTGTGTATTCTTGCCACCTCTTCTAAATATCTTCTGCTTCTGTTAGGTCCATACCATTTCTGTCCTTCATTGTGCCCATCTTTGCATGAAATGTTCCCTTGGCATCTCTAATTTTCTTGAAGAGATCTCTAGTCTTCCCCATTCTGTTGTTTTCCTCTATTTTTTTTTGCATTGATCACTTAGGAAGGCTTTCTTATCTGTCCTTGCTATTTTTTGGAACTCTGCCTTCAGATGGGTGTATCTTTCCTTTTCTCCTTTGCCTTTTGCTTCTCTTCCTTCTCAGCTGTTTGTAAGGCCTCCTCAGACAACCATTTTGCCTTTTTGCATTTCTTTTTCTTGGGGATGGTTTTGATCACTGCCTCCTGTACAATGTCATGAACCTCCATCCATAGTTACTGAGGCACTCTGTCTATCAGATCCAATCCCTTGAATCTATTTGTCACTTCCACTGTATAATTGTAAGGGATTTGACTTAGGTCATACCTGAATGGCCTAGTGGTTTTCCCTACTTTCTTCAATTTAAGTCTGAATTTTGCAATAAGGAGTTCATGATCTGAGCCATAGTCATTTCCCAATCTTGTTTTTGCTGACTGTATAGAGTTACTCCATCTTCAACTGCAAAGAATATAATCAATCTGACTTCAGTATTGACCATCTGGTGATGTCCATGTGTATTAATTATATTTATCATATTGCACATTATGTCCCTAGTACTTATTTAACCTATAACTCGAAGTCTGTACCCTTTGACCATCTTCATCCAATTCTGCCTCTCCCCAGACTGCAAATCTAATATTTTCCTTTCTCTTTAGGTTACTTTTTAAAAAATGTTATTTATAGTTTTTTACTTTATACGCCAGGAGGTGTGGCTCGTGGGATCTTAGTTTCCCAATCAGGGATGCAACCTGGGGGCCCTGTATTGGAAGGGTGGAGTCTTAACGACTGACCCACCAGGAAGTCCCTGATCTTTTTTTTCTATTAGTTTGCTTGTTTTCGAGGTATGTTTGATATACCATACTATGTTAGTTCCTGATGCACAACATAGTCAGTATTTCTACACATTTCAAAATGATTACCATCTGTCACTATACAAAGATACTACATTGTCATTTACTATATTCCCCACAGTTAGCATGCACAAGCATCACACTGTATATTTACACTCCTAATTCATTTACTTTGTAATTGGAAGTTTGTGCCACTTAACCTGCTTCACCTATTCCTCTCCTGTGGGCTATCACCACTTTGGTCTCAGTATTAGCTTTCTTAGGGTATGAATTTATTTTGATTACTTTTATATATTATCTATTCAATAATAATCAAATGTTTTTGAAATTAAAAAATACCGTTAAGACTAAATAGAAGTGTATGCGACCTAACTTTAAGTGAAAATGTCAGTGGATATTTTGTGGAATGGGTAGCCGAGTTCAAGCATGCTAAAAAGAAAAAGACACATAATATCTTGAGAAGAGCGTAGTCCAGTTACGTAAAAGCTAAATTATAAACTTTTATTACACAGACAAAGAAGATATGGACACATTAACAAAATTACAAAAACGCGAATTTCTCCAAAAATTAACTGGTAGCGTGATTTCGCCTTCTTACTCCTGGGGGCGTCCAAGCTCCACCTAACCCCTCCTTCCTCGTTTTTTCCGAAGGCTCGGAGGCCCAGCAGCTGGGCAGCGCGCGAGTCAGCCGAGACGCCCCGGGACGCCGGGACAGATGAACTCCGGGCCCCTGGGCCAGGCGCGCCGAGGAGAAGGAGAGCCCGACTCCGAGGCAGAAACTCTGCACAACAGCCACTTTCGTCGCCTTCACTGTTCAACCCTAGACCCCCAACCCAAGACCAGAAGCCGGAGACTTGGGCAAAAAGCGGCCCAGGTTCCCGGAAGTCTGAGAGGGCCCGTCGCCGCAGCCCGCGGAGCGCCCCGCCCCGCTCCCGTCCGGGCCTGCGGCGTCGGAGCCTTCCGGCTCGTCAGGCCTGAGTCAGGGCGCGGAGGCCGGGAAGGAGCGGTGGTTTCCCGACAACGGGGTCAGCATGACACGGTGGCATGTCCCACCACACCTCGGTGGGAGGGACACGGAGTACTGCGCAGCAGCCTCCTGTTGCTGCCCCAGCTGGGCTCCAGGAGCGGGGGATGACGCGGCCGTGTGCTTGCTCCCAGGCCAGGGGTAAGCCCATAGGTCTGAACGCTTCTCACTCGTGCGGTGTTCCCGCCGGCCCAGTTCACCCCAGCTCCTCCGTCTCCGCCCCAATCCCAGTGTTAACGACTTGCCATGGGCACTTGCCACCTACTTCTGTAAGGACTAAATCATGTGCCGTTGCTGCTGCTGACCATCAACACCCCCTGATGTGGAGAGCAGGAGTGAGGCCTCTGTGCTGGGGCGGAGTGGGGTGGGGTGGGTGGAGAAAGGAAACTGGCAGGGCAGTTCTTTAAACAGACGTTTTCAGGAGGCGCTTTTATGAACCCAGTTCTCTTTTGAAGTTTATTTATGTACTTTTGGGTGTGCTAGGGCTTGGCTGCTGCGCGTGGACCTTCTCTAGTTGTGGAGAGCAGGGGCTCCTGCTGCCCTTCATTGAGGAGCGCCGGCTGCAGTAGCTGTGGCATGTGGCTTCAGTAGTGGTGGTGGCTGAGTCGCTCCTTGGCATGAGATCCTCCCCGACAAGGGACTGAACCCAGGTTCCCTTCGTTGGCAGGCGGATTCTTATCCAGTGTACCACCAGGAAAGTCTCATGAACCCAGTTCTTGAATCTCCTCATATCTAGAAAATCACTGAACTCCTTCAGGGTGATGACTGTTTTCATGATGAGCAGAAAGCTTCATGAGACTAGCAGAAACCGGGAAAAAAAATATGCACTCAATTGCATGTATTCCGCTTTCACCGAAATCACGTATGTACTGACATTTCTCCCTGCTGCTTTGGAGCAGTTTCTCAGAGGTATCTGAGGTGCTGTTTACAGACTGCAGTCATTTTGCTATCACAGTAATTTACAATGTCATTTAATCATTTTAATAATCTTATGAGATAATCATGAGGGTAGTTTTCCAGGTCATACATCAAAATGCTACAGGTGAGGAAATGAGTTGTAAAGCAACAAGCCTGAGTTCTAGTGATGAAGCTAGACCCAGACCCAGGTCATTTATACCGACTGTCCACAAATTCCTTTTTAAATCAGAGCATCGCTTGAGACCAGGCCTACAAAAAATATACTTTGTCTTGGAGTCCTTGGAGGGGGCGACTGTGAGGTTCCAGTTAAACAAGGGAATGTGAGTCCCAGCCCTACCATGGAAGAGGTGGATTGCCTGGCTTCTGACAACAAACTGAGGCCAAGGGGAGACTGAGGTTGGGGTGCCAGCAGTACTTCTTGCCCCTTAAACACAGCTGCTCTGGCTGTAGCCCTTGTAGAACACTCCCAGATATTCTAATGAAACTCTGAAGGTGGGGCTAGTGCTGGAAGGGAATCTGAGCTTCCCATTTCTGAGGAATGGGTTTAAAAACAAAACAAACAAACAAAACCCCTAAGAGTAGGAACTGAGAACTTGACCCACAATCTGGTTGAATCCAGTCATACTGGGAGTTGTTGGGGGGAGGGTGGATAGAGAGAGGAATGGTTTCCAAATAGATTTAATTCCCATCTCCTTCCAAGGAAAGACACCTGGACAAGAACAAATATCTTTCATAGAAGTCCAGGAATGGGACAAGGCAGAGATTTTGCAGCTAAAGGCAAATGAATGGGGTGGGTCCATGGACCTGAGCAATTACTATCAGGTTGGCAAAAGACCCAACAGAATCACCTGCAACTTAGCACATAGTACCTAGGGACAAGGCCATTCCAACACATCTGAGAGCAGTTAGGCTCCAGATGCCAGCCACAGGGACCTGAGGTTGCCTCCTTTTTCTGCTACCTCTAGGCCATGGTAACACCAGCTTCACCTAGATGCCACCTGGAGGAGCGTAAGAGAGTGTTCTGGTTGTCTATTGCTGTATAACAAACTATTCCAGAGTCAGGAATTTGGAAAGGGTATGAGGGGAGAGGCAGTTTATCTCTGCTTCTAAATTTCAGCTGAGAAGACTTGGAGGCCAGAGGTGACTTGATGACTGGGGTCTGGAATCATCTGAAAAATTATCTATTTCTGCATAATCACTTTAAAATTTAGTGCCTTAAAATAACAGTTTATTATTTCTCCTGGTTCTCTTGGTTAGCTGGGGCTCAGATGTGAATTCGGCTGGAGCCAGAATGGTCAATTTAGCCTTAAGGCTTTCTCCAGGTGGCCTTTATCTCTGGCAGAGTAACTGGTCTTCTTGCATGGCATGGAGTAGCAAGAGGGAATGCTTCAACCAAGGCAAACAGAAGTTACAGATCTGTTAAAGCTCTCCCCTGAAAGTTAAATATGAGTACTTCCATTCCATTCTGTTGGTCAAAACAGGTCACAGGGTCAACTCAGATTTAAAGAGAGGGGAAATAAACTCTGCCTCTTGAAGGGTAGTTTTCCAGGTCACATTTCAAAAGAGTTTATGGGGTGAGAGATGTTGTTGTCATCTTTAGAAACACAGTCACCACCACTACTTAAACAAGAACAAACAGAGAGACTTTTAACTGGGCAGTTAAATCTTTCCCATTTCTCCACATCTTGCAGGCTATAGGTCTGAGAACAGGCTAGACCCATTATAAAATAAGCTACATTCTTTCCCGTGCATTGTTGCTGCTGTTCAGTCCCTTAGACATGTCTGATTCTTCACCCTGTGAACTGCAGCATGACGGGCTTCCCTGTCCTTCAGTATCTCTGGGAGCTTGCTCAAACTCATGTCCATTGAGTCAGTGATACCATCCAACCGTCTCATCCTCTGTTGCCCACTTCTCCTTGTGCCCTCTCTGAATGTAACGAGTAAATTGTGAGCCACTACACATGTACAAGCTAGATTTAGAAAAGGCAGAGGAACAAGAGATCAAATTGCCAACATCCGTTGGCTCGTAGAAAGAGCAAGAGAATTCCAGAAAAACATCTATTTCTGCTTCCTTGACTACACTAAAGTCTTTGACTGTGTGGATCACAACAAACTGTGGAAAATTCTTAAAGAGATGGGAATACCAGACCACCTGACCTGCCTCCTGAGAAATCTGTACACAGGTCAGGAAGCAACAGTTAGAACCGGACATGGAAAATGGACTGGTTCCAAATGGAAAGGAGTATGTCAAAGCTGTATATTGCCACCCTGTTTTTTTTTACTTATATGCAGAATACATCATGCAAAATGCCAGGCCAGATTAATCATAAGATAGAATCAAGATTGCCAGGAGAAATATCAATAACCTCAGATATGCAGATGACACCCTAATGGCAGAAAACGAAGAGGAGTTAAAGAGCCTCTTAATGAAGGTGAAAGAGGAAAGTGAAAACCTGGCTTAAAACTCAACATTTAAGAATCTAAGATCACAGCATCCGGTCTCATCACTTCTTGGCAAATAGATGGAGAAAAAATGGAAACAGTCACTTTCTTGGGCTCCAATATCACTTCAGATGGTGACTGTAGCCATTAAATTAAAAGATGCTTACTCCTTGGAAGGAAAGCTATGACAAACATAGTGTATTAAAAAGCAGAGACATCACTCTGTCAACAAAGGTCTGTCTAGTCAAAGCTATGGTTTTTCCAGCGGTCATGTAGTAGTGAGAGCTGGACCTTAAAGAATACGGGACGCTGAAGAATTGATGCTTTTGAACTGTGGTGTTGGAGGAGACTCTTGAGAGTACCTTGGACTGCAAGGAGATCCAACCAGTTAAAATGAGGGCTTGAGATTTCAGATTTTGAGAGAGTCAATTCCTAGGCAGGTTGATAAGAAGTCCGGGGTCCCCGAGGAGGAGAGAGGAGTCTGGAGGCTCTCAAGGAGGAGAAAAGACAAACTTTTTTTTTCTTCTCTACATTCCTTAGTCTTAGCCACATAAAACATTTTTTCTTTACGCCCAGAACCGATGATTACACAACAAACAATTCAGTTTAAACTCTATACTAAGGATTATATAACAACAATGTATCCTGTTTGAGGACAGTTTCCCCTTCCTGAAAACCTTCTGGCTAATCCTGTTATCTTAAAATGTAAATTGTAGGAGTGGGCCTAGTAAGACCTTTACAATCTTGAGACATTCTTTTGATTTATTTTTAATAAGAAATTTAAAAAGTATATGACTCCCTTTCTCAGACTTAGGGATGGGTGCACTCTCCATCCCCTCCTGATGTCTGTGTTAGAAGCATTCTCTGTCTCTTTTCACTTTAATAAAACTCTGCTACACAAAAGCTCTTGAGGGATCAAGCCTGGTCCCTGGTCTCGAAGCTAAATCTTCTTCTTCAGAGATCATGAATCCGACACCGTTCACTGTTAAGCTATCAATTTTAGGATCTTGACTTTTAGGAACAGGTCAGTTTGAGAGTTGGAAAACTGATTCTTCATCTTACTGGCTGTATATCTTGGACATATTGTTTAAGCTTCCTATGTTTCAGTTTTCTCATACACAAAATGTACTAATATTATTCTCACTTTACATGGGGCTTGCAAAACTTAAGTTTAGAAACTTTGGCTTTAATAGCTCAAAAATTTTGATAATTGTGAGAGTGAAAACTTTGATCTAGACTTTTAGGAAATCAGTGACTTGGCCTGATTTCTGACAGAAGGAGAGGATAAAATTTGGGAATGGTCTGAGGCAATATGTTCTTGGAGAAGAGGACATTTGAGTGATTCATGCATGTGAAAAGGAGGGACACAGAACTGTGGAAAGATGTGTTCCTCCTGGTACTTAAAATTAGACCTGAGATCTAATCCTAGCATCATTCATTAGTACCTAATTTCATTATTTCTTGGCAGTCTTCAGTAGAATTCATGTTACACATTACTTAAAAAAATTTTTCTTACTGTAAAATACACATAAAATTTACCATCTTAGATGAACCCTTTTTAAGTGTACAGTTCACATTGTTGTGTGACCATCACCCTTATCCACTTCCAGAATTCTTTTCATCTTGCAAAACTGAAACTCTGTACCTGTTAAACAATAACTCCCCATCCCCACTACCTGCCCCCCCAGTTCCCACCTACTTTCTGCTTCTGTGATGTTTGATCATTAACTACCTCATATAAATGAAATCAG